CCCTGTATTGTTCTGATCACTGCATCAGACAACCCACGGCGCTTCAACCTGTCCCATTCAGGAACCAAGCCTTCAGTGGTTGGCCGATTATGGGCCATTGCCCTATCGAGCCTCCCGCCTGAATCAACGCGTCTCGTCGATGTGGAATTGGCCAAGGTGGCGCAATCAACATCTGACTCATCTCTGCAAACCACGGAGCCCCCGGGCGATCGGGCGCTATCAGTATCACTGACAGCTCCTCTGACCTCACCCTGGCTAGCAGTGGGAGAATGCAAGACAGCGGAGGGAATGCATACAGGAGAACTTTCGGCCACGGGTAGTGCGCGAATGCGTCCCTTCCCAATGGCGGTTCGTCCTGGTTTCTCAGAGAAAACCATAGGAGACACTGCGCGTTCACACGTGACGCGAACAGGTCCACCTCGGCTCTCCCGAATTGTTCCCAAATCTGTAGAACAATGTCCGGGTGCAGACACCACTCGTCGTCTCGAGGACCCCCTCTTGACATGAGGTCTGCCCCTACGTTCAAGTAGCCCGGGATGTGAGCTGCTCTCAACGAGCGAAGGTGCTTGTGAGCCCACAGCCACAATTCCATTGCCGCCCGATGAAGGGCAGGAGACCTGACCCCTCCCTGGCGGTTTATGTGAGCCACTGTGGTTCGGTTGTCTGACCAGACCAACACATCGCGACCCCGAAGGGTAGACGCGAAGTGGGTCAAGACCAGTCGTACCGTTTCCAACTCTAGGAGGTTGATGTGACGACCTGATTGAGGCCATGCACCTCCTATCGCTTGAGACTGACATGTCCCTCCCCATCCAGTCAGAGAGGCATCTGTAAACACTGGAATGTAGGATGACACCTTGCCCATCGGGACTCCGTGCGTGAGAACGCACGGATTCCGCCAATAGTCCAGGTCTGCTCTTAGCGAGAGAGGAACCACCACCAACCGATGACGTTGACGCACTGGGTCTAGTCTTAGTTGGGCGAACCACCGCTGTGTTCTGCGCATGTGCAGAAGCCCTAGCGGTACCACAGAGTGGGCTGCCGACATGAGACCCAAAAGTGACATGATCGATAGCGCCGTTACTGTGTGATTCGGACGACACTTCCTCAGGGCTAGTAATAATGCTGCCCTTCGAGGGTCCGAAATTCGCGCCCTCATCATTACAGTGTCTAGCTGTAGTCCCAGGTAGACAATCTGATGACTGGGCCAGGGTGCGCTCTTTTTCCAATTCACAGCAAACCCCAGACGCGTGAGATGAGTCACTGTCTGTGTCGTGTGTGTGAACGCCAGCTCTGCTGACGGGGCGAGAATCAGCAGGTCGTCTAGGTAGGCTAATAGCCTTATTCCTTGACGACGCAGCGGTTCCAATGCCGCCTCCACACATTTGGAAAACGTTCGAGGTGCCAGGGCATACCCAAACGGCATCCTCGTGAACTCGTACGCCACCCCTTGAAAGGCGAACCGCAGAAACTTTCTGTGGCGCGATTGTATCGGCACATGAAAGTACGCGTCCCTTAGGTCTATGCTTGTACAAAAATCTCCCTTCTGAACACATTCCAGTAGGCGTTTTGTCGTTAGCATTCGGAAGGGCCGTTTGGTTATGCTCTCGTTGAGAATGCGTAAATCCAAAATCGGCCTCACTCCCCCCGTCTTTTTGGGCACTAGGAAATAGGGCGAGTACAGCCCCTTGTTCCTTTGCTCTCGGGGCACTACTGTGACCGCCTCCTTCGCCAAAAGTTCCGTAATCTCTGACTTCAGAGCGGCCACTTTGTCCGGCGTTTTCATCACCGTTTCCACTACTCCCCTGAACGGGGGTGGGGTCCGATGGAATTGGAGGGCATAACCCTTCTCTAACGTCTGTTCTAGCCAGCGTGAGAGGGTACAGCTTCGACGCCACTGCCAGCAATGCTGAGAAAGCGGGCGCGCACGAAGCTGTGGTGCGTCTAGTAGGAAAGACCTGTATTCCTCTATGGCCCTTGCCGCCGCTATTCCCCAGCACTGGGTTGGTGGAATAGCCCAAGGCGGGCCCCCCTTGAAAGGGAGAGGAAACATCAGCTCGTTCTGGGTGAATCGGGGGCTTTGATACGTTGGTTACGACCGTAACTCCAGTAATCTTGCCCTCCGTGAACGCAGCACGGGTCTGAACTGCACTGTCTGAGGTACTGGCCTGAGACAGAGCGCTCTTCCCGGAAAGCGATTGCGTCATCATGTCATTGTCTGACTGAGACTGCCGCTTGGCATGAGACTTATCCTTTACAGAACTCAACTGAATCTGAAAAGTGTGATCTCTGACTGACACCACACGGTGGTGCCACAATGCCTCTTTACTGGTCTTAAGCGGCTGTTCAACGACACACTCAATGTGTGGTGAGCTGCGCTCAGAGCCATGAGCATTGACACGTTCAGAATAATTCGGAGGCTTCCATACCTTGGTGGTATCCCTGCTCTCCGTGAACGTCGCACGGGTCTGATCTGCGCTGACTGAGGCATCGGCCTGTAGTAAGGCGTCATTCCCGGCTAGCGGCTGCGCCTTCATGTCACATTGGGACAGAGGCAACTGCCTGCTATGTGAGACCTTTACTACAGAGCTCCTAGGAGTCTGTAGTAAGAAATCTTTATTAGGTGAGCTAAGGCTGCGCCTTGCTACCTTTACCCTTTTCCTCTCTTGAGCGCGCTCAGCTACACACTCTAAGTGGGTTGAGCTACACTCAAGATGGTGAGGGAGAGGCGTAGAACGTGAAGTGTTCTGTACCTTATGGAATAAATGTCCTTCTTTGACAATGTCAATGAGAACCAGCTCTTTATTCACACAATGTAAAAAACAGCCCTCCACGCCCTGAACAGTGGGGTGGGGGGGAACAGTAGGCCCTTCTGCGTAACTCGCCGGGCCATCCTCCGTCCTCTCCCCCTCGCCTCGTCAGAGGTGCTTGCGCTTCTGGGAGGCCTTCTGGTGCTGCCAAGCTGGTCTCGTGACAACCTCTCTCGTGACAACCTCTCTCGCTGGCGGGACCGTTGCTGCCACCGTCACTGCTGGAGGGGCCGAGCCCGCTCTCCTGCTGTCTGTGGTATGCGTCTGTCGCCTGGCCCGACGCCTCACTGTAGCTCTGCTGGGGGCGTTGGAGGTGGACGGTCTAGCTGGGGCTTTGCTGGCCCTCATTGCCAGCGGCAAATGCTTGGCCAGGTGCCTCCTCTCCTCGTCCAGCCTGGCGATTCTTTCTGTCGCATCCTTTACTGCGAGACCAAAAAGGCCCTCGCTGGAGACGGGGGCGTTGAGTAGAGACGCCCTGTCGGTCTCCTTCATGGCCGTCATCGAGAGCCAGAGGTGTCGTTCCGTGACCACGGAGGTGGCCATGGTCCTTCCTGCGCATATGGCGACCGCCTGCGTCAGGTGTAGAATGGCTCCAGAGATTCTGGAGGCCTCCTCCACTTCCTCGCTGGTCATCTCCGACCTGCCCGTTGTGAGGCGGGACAGGGAGGCTGCGAGGAGGGCGATATTATTAGCAGCTGCTACGCTCTGGGCTCCCAGCGTAAAGGATTTCTCAGCCAACTGGGCTGTGAACCTATCTCTTTGTGCTGGCAGAGTGGCCTTCTTGGAGGCTGCCCAGGGACTCGACCCCGGCACTAGGAACGCCGCCATGGCGCCCTCGAGCCTGGGGATTCCCCTAGCCGCCCACTCATAGCCGCTCACTCTGGTGAAGGGGATATACGCTCTGGCCGGCGAACGCGCCGCCAGAGGTGCCCCCCACGAACCCTCGACATACTTGCCGAGAGAGGGCAAGGCTGGAGCCATTGGCTCAGCTGCTCTCCTCGGCTTGGAGTAAGGGCCGCCCTCCATCAGGTCCACCTCCATAGGAAGGGGAACTGGGGGCAGCACAACCTCGAGTCGTGTGGCAGCCTTCTCAATGAGCCCGGGAAAGTCCGAGCGCAGAGAGGCTACCGCGAAGGACAGGGCTTCTGACCTAGCAGAGCCCATGTCGTCATCGCACAAGGACCCTTCTAACCTCGCGCTTTCAGAATGAAAGGGGGTTTTGAAGGTAGGCGCCAGAGGTCTGGATTGTCCCACTGGGATATCCGCCTCGGCGCCTTCCTTGTCATCCTCTGACTCCGCACTGTCCTCTGACGCCTCTGAAGCAGAGGCGAGTGTGGACATTACATCATCCAGAGGGACGTCCTCCTTAAAAAACGCCCGACGCTGCTTCCTCTCCTTCATAGTAAGGAGGGCGCAGGAGGCACAATTAGGAGGGTTGTCGAGACCATCCTCGGCGTGCTGCGGTCCCAAACACACGAAGCAAAGGTCGTGGGGGTCCGAGCTAGCCATGGTGGTACACCGACACAGGGCCCTTAAAAGGGCCTTTGGGGGTGGGAAAATCCCTGGTGTGCTCATAGCAGAAGACGTTGACGGCTGGCAGTCAACGGCGAAATTCTTCTTAGAGTCTTCGTATGGCTTCTTCACTAGTCCAGTCGCTGAAGATAATGGGAGGCAGATTGAGGGAACGGGGTTCCTTATATAGGGACACCTGTACTCCTATTGGCTGTAGGTGTGTGCATAATTTTGCTTCAGGCTGTTCTGCCCTAGGGCAGAGGGTAAACCACTAGGAGCATAGCTCCCCTATGGGGCGGAGCTCCACGATATAGAACAGCTAGTTTTCAGTTTCCCATCCCCACTCAGACCACTCCCAGACAGTCTTAGCAAAATTATTGCTTGAGAAATTGCTCTTTGCTAGGAATCTATTTTTGTTTCTTTAAAAAAAAAAAGGAAAACTATCACAGTAAGGTACTTCATTTTTACCCAGAAATTATTTGATATTGAGATAAAACCGGCTGCATTGGATCTTTAAAGTATTACTGACGGCACACACCGGCGTGCAAAACGAGTACACCCAATGATGGCCCCTAATTGGCTCAACTACTTTCTGATTCAAAATGTGATTGGTGTGAGGCTGAATTCCTAAGTAATATGCCCATTCCATTGGTTGGTTGGAGTTAACCAATGCTCAAGGTTGTCTTCTTGCGGTTTCGTCCCACTGTCAAGTCTGCTAGCTAGCTACCTCTGGAGCATCCTACTGGGGCTCATTGTTCTAGGAGTAGTATTATTAGTATTAGCTTATTACAAAGAATGAGAAGAGTTACGCTTTTTGTGAACGGGACGTCCAAAAATGGCAAGGTGCGTACAGTTAGCTTAGCTATGGAGGTAACGTAGGTTAGACTAGCTAGCTAGCTAATTTAATGCGGCCTTAGCGTCGACGCAACTAAGCGACTCTTAACAGCCAAATGTCCTAACAAACTGGTTTAGTTGCGTCGAAGCTATGCGGCCTATAGAATTTGTGTAGCTAGCTAATGTCAGTAGTGGAAAAAGTACCCAATCGTCATACTTTAGTAAAAAGTAAAAGATACCTTAATAGAAAAAAATGACTCAAGTAAAAGTCACCCAGTAAAATACTACTTGAGTAAAAGTATTTTTGTTTTAAATATACTTAAGTATCAAAAGTCAAAGTATAAATCATTTAAAATTCCTTATATTAAGAAAACCAGACGGCACCATTCTTGTTTTATTTATAGATAGCCAGGGGCACGCTCCAACACTCAGACATCATTTACAAACGAAGCATGTGTTTAGTGAGTCCGCCAGATCAGATGCAGTAGGGATGACCAGGGATGTTCTCTTGATAAGTGAATTAGACACTTTTCCTTTCCTGCTAAGCATTCAAAATGTAACGAGTACTTTTGGGTGTCAGGGAAAATTTAATGGAGTAAAAAGTAAAATGTTCTTTAGGAATGTAGTTAAGAAAAAGTTGTCAAAGATATAAATAGTAAAGTACAGATAACCCAAAAAACTACTTAAGTAGTACTTTCAAGTATTTTTACTTAAGTACTTTACACCTCTGGCTAACGTTACGAGCTAATGCTAGCTAGTTAGTTGTTATCGTTTGTTTGGCATTGAGAACACGAACAAACGTAGTTAACTCATTTCCCAGTTGCTAGCTAGCTTGCTATCTGGCTACATTAAAAGGTAGACAAAACAATATGACATCATCATTCAAAATGGGGCCACTTCCTGCTTACAGACGTCAACAACAGTGTTTTGAAACCAACAACATTTAAACCTGCCACCCACCATTGTCTCTTCCCAATGTTGGTATGTCTCAAGGGAGGGGGCACATTTGGAAGAACAGAGGGATATCCTACGATGCAAGCTAGATCTACTAAGGGTTTTCTAAAGCTAACCAGCCTCAGTTAGGTTCACATTCCATCTCAGGCTTCATCCATACTACGATGGTGGATATTGCTTGTCGCCAACTCTAGCAGGCTTGTAACTGCGAGTGCATTTCGCACATGGCTAGTCGATCACTAGCCCTTGATCATGACTCTCAGTTCCATTACATTACACAAATCATTGGATTAAGGAGTCTTCTGTACAGGGGAGTTTTGTTAAGCGCCCCAAACGCTCAATCTGAACATTAACATGTGTCGCTTGCGGTACGGTTTTGGAAGCCTTATTTTACATATCAGCAAGAAATAATAATAATAATTTTTAAAAATGGTTAAATTGATACCTTGATAGGGTTAGTGTTCCCTCACGGCCATGTCTCCATGTTGCAGGGCTTGTTTGCGGAAAACAGACGGACGACGAGGTTTCCACCTGTGCTAATTAAGCAATAAGGCCTGAGGGGGTGTGGTATATGGCAATATACCACAAACCCCAGAGGTGCCTTATTGCTATTATAAACTGGTTACCAATGTAATTAGAGCAGTATAAAGAATTTTTTTGTCATACCCGTGGTATATGGTCAGATGTACCACGGCTGTCAGCCAATCAGCATTCAGGGCTTGAACCACCCAGTTTATAATTAGCTATATAGCATGCGCCGAACACCTGTGTGTAAGCGTAACTCGGGAAGTGTAGTTTCAACAGATAGGGGCACCCATAGCTGTATGGATCTGTGCAAAAATTCTACTGTAAGTGTATCTTTTTTATTTGAAGGATTCTTTCTCGCTGATGAAAGATAAGGGCCATATGTTTCGGAAACCGTAGCGCAAGCGATGATTATTGACGTTTCTAAACCTTAAAACACAGCGTCGGGATTGTAGTTCACGTGAGCCAGTCGTTGGCGACGCAAATGGCTGAAAACTGTAGGGAGAAGGCAGAATGCCGCCCAGAGTTTTCTCTCGAATTACAAATTCTTCATTGAGACAATGCTGAAACATCAATCCATGGGTGAGTCAGTGCCACATTTTCATTTGTTCCAAAATCAAAATGAAAGAAAAGTTGTCTTGCAAATTCAGCAGGCTATGGCTTTTAGAAGTTCCGTCTTTATTTTATTACTTATTATTTTATTACTTATTATTATCGTTAATGCCGTCTTTGGTGTGCTTTGCACAAGCATCTTTTTTCCCCACTCCTATCGATATTTATTTTTTATTTAGTCATACAAAAGTGTTACATTGTGTGAAGTTTACTAAATGTGTAATGTGCTATATTTTAACATGGCTATTTTTAACACACAATCTTTTTTAAAATTAATAAAAGATTTAATCTGTTGTCTTCCTCAAATGAAGGGGATGATGACTCTTTGCAAGAGGGAGGGAATCTGATTTCATTGGTCCTTAAACTCACAGCTCAGTAATTTCATTCAGAGTAAGTAGAGTTATCCGTGATTTAGGCTGCCCCGGAGCATGTTAGTTCTGAAGGATTCGTTGCCATAGAAATTTACCTGGCTAAAAGGTGAGCCACTTTCGTATAACCGGTTATCCCGAGTTGAACTCAGAGTTGACCAAAGATAAATCGCTAACTCCTGGCAGTCTTGGTAGATTTGAACTTTGTTGTTGTTATCTTTCTATAAGCAGTGATCCAGCTGTGTATCATCATGTCATATTGCTAAGTTTACCTTTAAGTGTGCTAGCAAGAAATAATGGGTTTGCCCAAATCAGTCTGTTTTGTGACAATAACTCTGTTTTCCTTTATTAGGTTGTAGCTGTGTATGGGACCTTGGCCGACCTGTTATCTGTAGCAAGCAATAAGTTGGGAATCAAAGCCTGTAATTTATACAATGGAAAAGGTGGTCTTATAGATGACATAGCGCTCATCAGGTATTGTTAATTTCCTTCAACACTTTGTAGTTTCATGCACTTGGAAGGTCCTTACTCCTGCCAATATTGCATATTAATTTCTCTACTATTCCTTCTTATATAGGGATGATGATGTTTTGTATGTCTCAGAGGGAGACCCCTTTTTTGGTGAGTTTGTGTCAAATTCTTTCCTTGCAAACCATTTAGTTCTGAGGAATGAGGTGGTGAGTTATCCCTCTGAATACTGTTATTATCTTAGACCCACAGAATGATGTCAGGGCTACAGACGATCGGCCTGGGGCACACACCGATTGGCTGACGCTTAATATTGGAGGGCGTCTCTTCACCACCACACGGTAAGCAATGGAGGAGTTATTTCCATGGTCTATGAACATCAAAAGTCACAAATGAACATCTCTGTCAGTATTATTGATATCCACTTTATTCTTTGGTCACTCCTTTCCTCACAAACTAATATTTTTTACAGGAGCACCTTGGTCAGCAAGGAGCCGGAGAGCATGCTCGCTCACATGTTTCGGGAGAAGGGTAAAAATAATTAAGTCTGTCACATCTACCACTAACTCTGCTACCTTTTTCTTTTGTGATTTACCCATAATGATGGCCCCTCTATCCTTGCTCTGCAGATGTATGGGGTAACAAGCAGGATGAATGTGGGGCTTACCTTATTGATCGCAGCCCAGAATACTTCGAGCCTATTCTTAATTACCTGCGACATGGCCAGCTCATTATCAATGAAGGAATCAATTTGCTTGGTAAGTATGGCATTTACAGCCAGAACAGTCATTACCTTTATTCTACGATACTGCTCACAGATTAATGAGAACACTTCAGTTGTGCATGTTGAATACAGTATGTAGATTTCTGAAATCTTGACAATATATTGCCTAAAATCAGTAAATACAATTTGTGTTTCAGGGGTTTTGGAGGAGGCCCGTTTCTTTGGAATTGAGCTGCTTGCTGAGCAGTTGGAAGTAGCAATAAAGGTGAAGAACTCAAGCTACATATTTCAAATTATTTATTTAATTTCATCACAGCATATTGATCCATGCTTTTCTCCAGAATAACCAGCCACCTGAGGACCACTCTCCCATCTCTCGCAAGGAGTTTGTTCGGTTTCTGCTGGCTACACCCACCAAATCAGAGCTCCGCTGTCAGGTAAAACGCAACACATTTGCAACAAGCACAACGCACTGTTGAACATTAGATGCAGTCTAACTAACATGACACGTGAAACTGACAAATAATACCTCTATCCACAAGGGACTTAATTTCAGTGGTGCTGATCTCTCTCGCCTCGACTTGCGCTACATCAACTTCAAGATGGCCAACCTGAGTCGCTGCAACCTGACACATGCCAACCTATGCTCTTCAAACCTGGAGCGCGCTGACCTCTCTGGGGCCAACCTCGATGTGAGCCCATAGCTCCTTTATTAGCCTATGAAACCTACCTGTTACAGCGTGTCAACATTTCAGAAATGTGCAGTATTTTGTAGGGACTGATTTTGTCTTTCTGTTTTAGGGTGCTAACTTGCAGGGTGTGAAGATGCTCTGTTCAAATGCTGAGGGGGCGTCTCTCAAAGGATGCAATTTTGAGGACCCATCTGGACTAAAGGCCAACTTAGAGGGTAAGCTTTCTAATGTATTTGTATGATAAGAGGAATGACAAATATGGAACTGATAACACTTGTATAACCTCTGGTGTTGAACATCTAATTTCTGTCTTATTAGGTGCCAATCTGAAAGGGGTTGACATGGAGGGAAGTCAGATGACGGGAATTAACCTGCGTGTGGCCACTCTCAAAAATGCTAAGCTGAAGAACTGTAACCTGCGGGGTGCCACTTTGGCAGGAACCGATCTTGAGGTAACCTGAGGGCATTTAAGAGGATTAACCTTGAGACAAAAAAATTAAGTCAATCTGAACAAATGGCATTAGACAGCTCTTGTAATCATTTTATGTTTGTTGTTGAAGGTTTGTCAGTTAGATACCATGAAGTTGTCCATCCTAAGATAACTGTATTATTGCAGTTTTATTACCGTGACATCTAAGGTCAGTACCAAGAATACTGACTGTTGAGTTTGGTTTTACTCCTCACAGAACTGTGATCTGTCTGGCTGCGACCTACAAGAGGCCAACTTGAGAGGGTCCAATGTGAAGGGGGCCATTTTTGAAGAGATGCTGACTGCATTGCACATGTCTCAGAGTGTTAGATAACTCTCCTGCACATTCCACCTGGGTTCAGGCTGGTTAATCTCATGGATGCCTGGCAACGGTCTTCATTTGCCAGCCAATCCCACCCACCCCTACTATCAAGCTTCTTGGACCCTTATGCAATACAGGTAGTTTTCTGTACATCCCTGGCATTCCAGCTCATATACTAGCTTTAAATAATTTGCACTAGAGCACATTCAGGGATATTTGTTTCCGTTATGTAGTGGAAGCTTTTACGTGTCTATCTCTCTTTCCTTATTTTTCCCCAAAACCAAAATATTTAATGTTTTTATGTATGTTTACTATTATGTCTGGATTCAATCCTACCTTATTACTATTCTTTTTAATTCTGGATGTATACACACTTTCTTGATTATTTAACGCAATGTTTCTGAAAGTCAAAGATTATCAAACTATAAGTGCATGAAGGTTTTAAGTAACAATATAAGGGCCTCAATCAAGACTGTGGCATAGCAGAAGTGGGAGGTGGCATGGTGTGACTGTACATTCTTATCAATGTACTTCGTTTTATGCCAGATATGCTTTATGATTAGGAGAATGTTAATTTTCTAAGCCAAAGCCATACCGTAGCATGATCAAAATGGCAAAATAGTTTGTTGTTATTGCACCACCTAATTATGCTGTGGATTTTCTTATAATACTGTGGCTGTTGAAACAGTATTCAACAGAATTTCAAGTATGCAATGTACTCTTCCTTGAATATCACTGAAGTCAAAAGCTGCCTGTCGTTTTGTTTGGATGTTCTCTGTGAATCTACCTCCTTATTGTTTTTACCCCTTTCTGATGTATCTCTAGTTGCATGCATTTCACAGTGGTTTTTGCTTCTTGTATGAAATCCATTATTCATCATATCCAAATATGATAAGCAAATAATCAAAGTGAATAAGATGTTTTTTTAATAGTGTTACTGTCATGTTCAAGCTTGTGGATCACCTAGTTGTACGAGGAAGATAGTTGTATAACAACACTCCCCTCACAATGAATTGCATATAATTCAATCATGTTTTGAAATTATACTTTGCACAAATCTGTCTTAAATTAAAAATGTTGTTCACCGTCTTCTGTTATACTCACTCGCAGGTCACCAACAAGTAGAATGTGGTTCTTGTAACAATGTTTTTTATTTTTTTTAATCCAGTGCTTCCAAAACGTGTAAATTATTAGGATAGCAAAACATTATCACTGCTGGACTGTGATTTTAACAATCTCATGTCAGTTTGTTTAAGAAAATGTCTGCATGTTTAAAGACTGTATTTTACCAGTCTTCGACTGGTGAATTTCCTCTAGGTGTATCTTTTTGAGATGCAATATTCTCTCTCTATACTCTATTCCACAGTAGGTACTCTTCTGTCGCAATAATGAAGGCAATCATAAAGAATATTGCACCTTGAGTGTGGAGATCGTCAATATCAGAACCTTGTAGAAAAGAACAATGGTTATTTATTTTGATATAACATATTGAAGAAATATGGAATGAAAGTTAGTTAAAGACTGGGTGTGTTTCTCTTCCTCCCCTGTCTATAATTATTGCACTCAAGCACAAAATTGTATTTCAATAAATTACTGTTCTCAATAAACAAAAGCCACTGTGTAATTACTTGTGCAAATGAAATACTGGTATCCTTTCACTAACTTCCCAGAAGAACACCAAGACCCTGTGCCTAATTCATTTCATTGTTGCTGCTGTAAAAGTGCACAATCGTTCCCAAAGTATTGTTAAGCTTTTAAAAGGCTCTTTGCGGTGCCTGAAGTGGAGGTGCTTAGTGCTGCTCTGTAATATATTTTTGAGTGGAGCCTTTTTCTGTAATCCACTTTGTAACCTCCTGCAACTAGGTGATGGGGCTGGGGGGTGGGGCACATGGGAACCAAGCTGCCTATAAAACCTCAAAGACACATGAGTTGCTCAGCTAGAGTAATAAGGCTGACTTTGCAGAATGGAAGAGAAAAAGGTCCTGTTGTTGCTGCTGCTTTTGGTGGTGGCTCTAGTGTCACAGGGTTGCTGTCAACATTGGTCCTATGGCATGAACCCAGGGGGGAAAAGAGCGACTGGCAGCCTGTCTGACACCCAGGACAATGTAAGTACTTTACCTATTCATAATGTGGAAGCAGAACTAGCTAGGTCTATTTACTAAAGGTTGAGATGGTAAAGTATACAATGATGGAAGGGATGTTCCTATATTTGCATAGTATAATCTGGCTAAATGACAATTCTACAGATGGCTGAAGACCTTCTGAAGATAGACCCTTGCAGTTTGTTTGGCTGTGCTGATGTCTCACCTCATGCCAAAATGTACAGGCTGAGGGCATTACTTGTGAGTGACATTTACAATTTTGCATATACATTTCCCTTCAAGAAGCTACCCAGAAGTTGAATATAAAGCGAAATTGTGTTGGTAGTTCAATATTGCTACTTTATTTAATGTATGTGTTTTTTTCTAAATTTCTTCAATTTTTATCCAAATTGTAAATTATGTTTTTCCTTTACTTTTTTGTAGGCAAGCCTCGCTGACAGACAAAGTGGACTCAATAATATATAGCAAATGTATGCTAGCTAACTCAATGAAACATTGCAGTGCCATCATTGTGTTTTATGGTGGTCTTTGTTGGGGGTCCCATTTTTGTTGGTTTGCATATTACATAGTATGGCTTTAAAACAGTGGAACACGATGTCAAAATAAAAGTGCCAACACATGATTGCGAGAATGAGTTACGTTGTCGACTCTTGTAGCAAACCTTTATTTTGAAAATGTCGACAGCATGGCTTTTATGTCGAGTTCATGTGTCTACATGTTCATCACGGGTTATATAAGTATTTGTGTTCATTCTGTGGTGGTTGTTCATTATTAGAATTTCCACTGAATTAGCTAAATAGCTCAACTCGAGCTCAGTTGCTTTGAGGAGCACGTTTCCAGACAATCGTCCGGTTTTGCTAGCAGCTGTGTTAGCTAGTTATGAGAGCTAGCTAGCTAGCTGTAGCTAACAACATTAGCTAGCTAGGTACAACAGTGGGACTTGGAAGCCAGCTACTGAGTGCAATGTTTCGTGATAGCATTACAAACTTCGGCAGACATCGAGACATACGAAATAAGAAATACCACATTTGTTTTTCAAATGCGTAGTTTTTTTTTTACAAGAACATAAAGAACTGCACTGCAGACTGCAATGTCGTCTGGAGGCCATCAATGTAGATGCTGTTCCCACCAATTTGCGTCCCCCAGTGCGCACCAAACATTGGATGAAATGGACTTCGAAAGAGGTAGCTAGATTATAACTTATATTTGGTACTTTCATACTCATGAACAGTTTCCCTGATTTAAATGGATCACACAACACATATGGAGCTGTAATGACTCACATGTGTGTGATATTACAGGTATCTGGTCTGCTGCAATGGATGGAGACTTGGAGAGGGTCAAATCACTTCTCAAGAAGGGTACAGACCCTAACCTAAGAGACTCAGCCAATTACACTGCTCTGGTGAGGATGTCTCCCAAGGCTAGAATGATAATTTCACCTATATTTTGTAACACATTTTGGCTGAGTTGAACTGATCTTCCTAACTATGTGGAATGGTTGTGATTTATTTAAGCACTATGCCAGCCGCAGTGGGCAGGAGTCTGTATGTAAGTTCCTTCTTGAGAGCGGGGCATGTGCCAACCCTCAGACGCCGGGTGGGGCCACTCCTCTTCACCGATCTGCCTACTGTGGACAGCTGGATGTGGTCCAGCTGCTGCTTCACCATGGGGCAGATCCCCAGCTATGTGATGGTGATGGATCCTCCCCATTACATAAGGTGCAGTACTAGTCAATGGCAATACAAGGAAAATAATACAAAAACAATAACTGCAGCATTATATTGTAAGGCAATACTGTAAATCAGGGATGAGCAACTTTTTAGATATACACAGTTGCAGCCAAATATATTGGCACCCTTGCACTTTACTTGAATGATTCCCTATTTCTTCTCAAGTAAGTTGAAATTAAAAACAAGAACTTTTAGTCACCACACGTTGTTATTGGATTTTCAACATTGCAGAACCAATTTTATTTTTGTATTAAAACTTAAGTTTACAATTTTAATTGAGAAAATAAAGACAAATAGCATGGACAGAATTATTGGCACCCCGGAGCTAGTGCTTGGTTGCACAGCCTTTGGACAAGATAAACAAACGCTTCTTGTAGCCATCAATGAGCTTGGTGCACCTTTCTACTGGCAATTTGGCCAACTTTTCAACAGCAAACTGCTCTAATTCTTCAACTGCTATTTTAAGATCTCGCCATAGGTTTTGGATGTGATTCAGATCTGGACTCTTCGCTGGCCTCTCCAGAACAGTCCAGCAGTTGGTGGAGGGACAACTCAAACATTGAAGAATTAGAGCAGCTTGCTGCTGAAGAGTAGGCCAAATTGCCAGTAGAGAGGTGCAGCAAGCTCTTTGATGGCTACAAGAAGCATTTGTTGTCAGTTATCTTGGCCAAAGGCTGTGCAACCAAGTACTAGCTCCGGGGTGGCAATAATGTTGTCCATGCCATTTCGTCTTTATTTTCTAAATAAAAATTGTAAACTTAAGTTGACAAAAATATAATTGGTTCTGCAATATTGCAAATCCAATGTGTGAAGACCAAATTTGGTTGTGCATCAGCAGTTTTTCTCTTGTTATGTCAGTCGCTGACTAATCTCGGTTACCCAGAAGTGAAATTCTCGTGAAAGTTGTCTGTCCACGAGAGATTAATCATTGACAGACAGTCAATTAGCCCATGTCAGCAAACATGTTTTAGATTGGTAAGTTAGTCTAGCCATGGCTTAGCAGATAATATGAAAAGAATAACAATATTTACCTGGCTCAAAGAGAAGGAATATAATAGCTATTCAACAATTCTAGATGAAATTGTGTGGAAAAAGAACTGGGGGGGTGAAATATGGCCAAAATATACTTCTCCCATGGGCAAAGAACCTCAAAAGGGGTGATGATATTAATTAACAGTAATTTTGATCCGAATGTGCAAATTGTCCAAACAGATCCGCAAGGTAGATGGATGATTTTAAATATGTTATTGGACCATAAACAGATATAGCTCATTAACCTGTGGTCCTCTGTAGCTCAGCTGGTAGAGCACGGCGCTTGTAACGCCAAGGTAGTGGGTTCGATCCCCGGGACCACCCATACACAAAAAAAAATGTATGCACGCATGACTGTAAGTCGCTTTGGATAAAAGCGTCTGCTAAATGGCATATTATATTATTATTATTTTATTATTATTATTATTATAATATTATTATTATTATATTATAACCTTTACGGACCAAATAATGATGATCCACGCTTCTTTGAAAATATATATAATAAATTATCAACCCTGCAAGCAATACAAGACTCTATTATTATGTTTTAAATAGCTCAATGGATTGTAAAGGAAATCACACTACAAACTATCACTCTCTTAAGGAAATCATGAATGTCATGGATACATTAGAACTAGTGGATATATGGAGGCTTAAATATCCTGACCTAGTGAGATATACAGTGGGGAAAAAAAGTATTTAGTCAGCCACCAATTGTGCAAGTTCTCCCACTTAAAAAGATGAGAGAGGCCTGTAATTTTCATCATAGGTACACGTCAACTATGACAGACAAATTGAGAAATAAATATCCAGAAAATCACATTGTAGGATTTTTAATGAATTTATTTGCAAATTATGGTGGAAAATAAGTATTTGGTCACCTACAAACAAGCAAGATTTCTGGCTCTCACAGACCTGTAACTTCTTCTTGAAGAGGCTCCTCTGTCCTCCACTCGTTACCTGTATTAATGGCACCTGTTTGAACTTGTTATCAGTATAAAAGACACCTGTCCACAACCTCAAACAGTCACACTCCAAACTCCACTATGGCCAAGATCAAAGAGCTGTCAAAGGACACCAGAAACAAAATTGTAGACCTGCACCAGGCTGGGAAGACTGAATCTGCAATAGGTAAGCAGCCTGGTTTGAAGAAATCAACTGTGGGGGCAATTATTAGGAAATGGAAGACATACAAGACCACTGATAATCACCCTCGATCTGGGGCTCCACGCAAGATCTCACCCTGTGGGGTCAAAATGATCACAAGAACGGTGAGCAAAAATCCCAGAACCACACGGGGGGACCTAGTGAATGACCTGCAGAGAGCTGGGACCAAAGTAACAAAGCCTACCATCAGTAACACCTACGCCGCCAGGGACTCAAATCCTGCAGTGCAAGACGTGTCCCCCTGCTTAAGCCAGTACATGTCCAGGCCCGTCTGAAGTTTGCTAGAGTGCATTTGGATGATCCAGAAGAGGATTGGGAGAATGTCATATGGTCAGATGAAACCAAAATATAACTTTTTGGTAAAAACTCAACTCGTCGTGTTTGGAGTACAAAGAATGCTGAGTTGGATCCAAAGAACACCATACCTACTGTGAAGCATGGGGGTGGAAACATCATGCTTTGGGGCTGTTTTTCTGCAAAGGGACCAGGACGACTGATCCGTGTAAAGGAAAGAATGAATGAGGCCATGTATCGTGAGATTTTGAGTGAAAACCTCCTTCCATCAGCAAGGGCATTGAAGATGAAACGTGGCTGGGTCTTTCAGCATGACAATGATCCCAAACACACCGCCCGGGCAACGAAGGAGTGGCTTCGTAAGAAGCATTTCAAGGTCCTGGAGTGGCATAGCCAGTCTCCAGATCTCAACCCCATAGAAAATCTTTGGAGGGAGTTGAAAGTCCGTGTTGCCCAGCGACAGCCCCAAAACATCACTGCTCTAGAGGAGACCTGCATGGAGGAATGGGCCAAAATACCAGCAACAGTGTGTGAAAACCTTGTGAAGACTTACAGAAAACGTTTGACCTGTGTCATTGCCAACAAAGGTTATATAACAAAGTATTGAGAAACTTTTGTTATTGACCAAATACTTATTTTCCACCATAATTTGCAAATAAATTCATTAAAAATCCTACAATGTGATTTTCTGGAATTGTTTTCCTCATTTTGTCTGTCATAGTTGACATGTACCTATGATGAAAAGTACAGGCCTCTCTCATCTTTTTAAGTGGGAGAACTTGCACAATTGGTGGCTGACTAAATACTTTTTTTCCCCACTGTACATGGCGGAGACTCAATCAAGCTAGTCGTCTTGACTTCTTTCTTATGTCATTCTCGTTGGCACCAAAAGTTTAAAAAGTGTTGATAGGGGACAGAATGCTGTCGGACCATCATATAATTGGCATATACATTACTCTTACTGAATTTCCACGTGGGCGAGGATATTGGAAATTTAATCAAAGCCTATTGGATGATAACTTGTTTTTAACTAGGACAGAGGAATTTATAACTTAATATTATAGCATAGGTACAGCAAATCCCCTTATTGTATGGGACACTTTTAAATGTGCCTTTAGAGGCCATGCAATTCAGTACTCATCTCAAAAAACAAAAGCAATTTAGGTCAAAAGAGTCCATACTAACAAAGGAAATAGAAGGTCTAACAGAACAGATAGATAGCAATAAAAACAGTAA